AAAAACTACTTCCAGAAACATTCAGCTTTGATATTAATGAGTTTTTTGGGTTCATTGAGAACATGGTTGTTGTTCAATAATAAAATTATTCCTCACAAATACAACTTGCCTAATAATTCTGCACTCCCTGTAGTAAGAGACCCTACTGGGTGTTTGCAGAGGGGCGGACCACTAGGGGGCTCCATTCACACCCAGTGAGAAGGGAAGGAGGGGCTAATGTGTTTGCCGCCTTGTGAGTTCAGTTGTGTGAAGCCGAGATTCAGCGTGTTAGTTCAAAATGTGTTAGCACCAGTCACAATTGCAGTGTTGGCGGCCATGGTCTTTCCACACTCGCCACAGCTGGGGATTGAAACTAGGTCGCTCTAGAGCCCTGAGCTTTTCCACACACAGCATCAGGACACGGCACTGACAGTGGGCTATTTTAGCAATCTCTCATCAAAAGCCTCCAACGAATTTAACAAGCAAAAACAGTAGAAAATAAGTCATTCAGTTTACAAATCTTGTGGGTTTTGTCGTAGCAGAGGGAGAAGGATGCAGTTTTAAACGCGTCGCTCAATCCTGAGCCGAGTTTCATCTTGTGTTTTCAGAGCACTGAAGAAACAGATGGGCTGCAGAATCAGGAGAGGGGTCAAAGAAGAGAAACGCTGGTCTGAGCTGAAGTGTACTTCAGTTCAATCTGAACGATGTCAGTCTACATCCAACCATATCTGAACAGATCCCACCAGAACCAGAGTTTCAGTAGACCTGGATGGAGTAGCAGGGGCTGGTTTCAAATCACAATAACTGCTGATTTGCTGCACTGCTTCAGACCCCCACTGGAATAATGCTTTCACTGGGACAGGTCCACCGGCCTGTGAGTGTGTGACGGTGTCTCTGTGTATACTTGAGGAAAAGATCTGCATTATAAATATAAATGTTCTTGACCAGCACAATTCACAAAATATTTTGTACAGTGCAGTGCTTTAATTTGTAACTAAGTCAGTTGTGTTTTGTGTTTGTCTCTCAGCGAAAGTGTAAAAAACAAAACAATAAAACTGCGTCGGAGTGTTTTTGTATGTACTCTAAGAGCCTCTTTCTTCTCTGGGCAAGAAGAGTCCCTTTCTGTCGGCCTGCGTTGTACATAGACTGTGAATGGAAACGAGATCAGAGGTCTTGTAGATCGACTGTAATGTTACATATGTAATGTAAAGTGGGAGAGGAGGAGCTTTTAGTCATGTTGGATTTGTTTTTGTGAAGTTTTTTGAAACTGATTTAAGAAAACCATGGATGTTCACGCAGTAGAGTTTTTTCTTTACTATCGTTACTCTTTACCGTTACTAAACCAACATTTCTGGTGTGTTGTTAAATAACCTGCTGAAATAGTGCAGTTAGTCCAGCTATAAAGAATTTAGTCTTTGGAATTGCTCAGTTTTTATTTATTTATCTTTTTTTGTGGATTACTCAAAAAAAATAATAAAATTTCAGTTAAGTTAAAGAACTAAACTAATAACACAAAAACACTTTTGACATCAGTAAGAACCACAACCGAATTCATGCTTTCTGTAGCTGCATAAGAGTCGTCAGTGACACGCAGGGTTTAGGGAACATCAACAAAACGATACTTTTGGGATGTTTCGATTCATTTTTCATTCTGCTTTTGCTTCAGTGCTTTTGTTCTACAAATTCTCATAAGTTGTAGAAGTCCTGCTCCTTTGGGGGGACTCCACATTGTGCTTCTGTTATGATCTTTACAGAATACTTGCCACAATGAGTCGTCCTGAATTTACTCAATTTGTGTTTTTGCAAATGGATCAACACAATAGTCTTTTGCATTGATTGTAAAAATCACCACAGCAGTTTGCTCTGGGTGCTTTATATTGGAAAATACAGACTATACAATATTACCCCTCTACCAATGCCCAGCAAGCATTTGACAATGCTGGGAAGAAACTCCTCTCTTTAAAGAGACTTCATCCAAGTGACGAACACTACAAACGCTACGTCCACATGAACAGAGTCAACTTTTGGGGAATAGTAGGACTTCTTTGTGCATTTTTGAGGGAGTAAGCTTTTAAGAGATACACAGAGGAAGTAAATACTGAAGTTAACAATTGAAAGCACCACTCAGGTGCATCCCAGCTGGTACTGTAAGGGTTTGCTCACTGTTTTCAATAAAGATCTGAAAAGTTTCAATGTTTGCATTAGTTTAGTCAGATTGAGTTTGTTTCTACTTTGTGAAGATGGACCACATTTATAGTTATAAATTCAGAAATTCCAAATTGTTCACATCTTTCTTCCAACGTGTGTATGCGCTGAAGAAATACCTCTGAGACAATGCTGTATGTGCAACACTTTTAGGAGATGGTGCCATTGTATCGCTGTACTGAAGAGGTTTCAATGACACAGTGAAGCCTAAGTGAAAATGATGCTTTATCTTCAGCTTATAGATGATTTCACAAATGTTGAAAGAGGACCAAGAGCATTCATTATGTCAGGTCTGTCAGGAGCACATACAAGGACTTCAGTCTTTCCTTCATGAAGTTGGAGGAAGTTGTCAGCCATCCAACCTTTGATGGATTCTAAGCACTAATTCAGAAGCTTAGAAACATCTTGGGGTTTAAAAGAAGTGTATAACTGGATATCATCTGCGTCGCAGTGGTAACAAATGTCCTCAAAACGGCTCAAAATATGCTGGAGAGGAAGTGGATATATTAAAAACAATAAAGGCCCCGGCACAGAACCTTGTGGCACACCATAGGTGAGAGAAGTGGAAGATGACCTGTACCGAGAAACTGCCACAGAAAAATATCGTTCAGACAGATACGAGGAGAACCACTCTAAGGCAGATCCAGATACACCGACCCAATATTTCAGCCTCTCAAGCTGAATGTGATGGTTAACGGTCACAAAGGCCGACGTGAGGTCCAACATCAGGAGAACAGAACATTTTCCTGCATGTTAGACTGAAGACTGTTTCAATTCAATTCAATTTTATTTATATAGCGCCAAATCACAACAAAAGTCGCCTCAAGGCGCTTCATAGATACAGAGAAAAAAAAACCCAACAATCATATGACCCCCTATGAGCA